CGATCTTTGCCCTGCGATTTATGGGCTGTTAGCTTCCCATCGTTTTCATGTACCTCGGCGACATGGATCTGGGCGAAGACCACCGCGTATAACTCGCGGTGAATCCGAACCCCCCCCCCCCCCCCCCCAAGAAAACCGCGCAGAAACCCGCCCCCCCCCCATAATACTAACACCACACCCAGAATCTACCAGGCGTAACAACACGAGACATATCCCAGATGGTAGACGACCGCGGCTGGAAGCTAGCCGGCTGGGCGATCAAGCCGTTCGCGATGCTCATGTCGAGCTTCCGCGAGGTGATCTTCATAGACGCCGACTCGTTCTTCTTCCGGGACCCGGCGCAGCTGTTCGACGACGCCGACTACGTCGACACGGGGGCGCTGTTCTTCCGCGACCGGACTATCATGCCCGAGTCGAAGCGGCGGTGGCTGCTGCAGGTCCTCCCCAGGCCCATCCCTAAGCTTGCGAAGGAATCTAGCTGGTGGAAGGGCACTTCGGGGCATCACCAGGAGAGCGGCGTTGTTGTGGTATGTTTGCTTTCACCACTATGTTTACTTCTACCGCTATGTTTGCTTTCGCCCGCGTGGGCTTATCAGAGCTTCCCTGCTTGGCGCTGACCTGTTCGTTAGATTGATAAATGGCGGCATTTCGTATCCATGCTGCTTGTTTGCCGCTTCAACGGGAGCGATCGCGACGGGCGACCCGGTAAGACGGGCGTATATGAGATGATGCATGGTGAGTAATGAGAGTCGCATAGAACGTGACCGTTTTCTTTCTCCCCTTGCCTCTTTTTTATAAAAAAAATTAAATAAATAAATAAAAATAGTTTGATTTACTTCGTAGATCTAACATAAACGGCAGGCGACAAGGAGACATTCTGGATCGGCTTCCTGCTAGCAGGCGACGAATCGTTCGCCTTCCACAGGGGCGCAGTAGGGATCATGGGCACCATCAAAGCGCCCAACACGACAGAAACGAACTCGACAGCCCGAAAACGCAACCCATCCCCCGAAGACAACGACATCCCGCCCGAAGACGACCTACCGCTAGACGAACCCGAACCCGACGTGATCCCAGACGAAGACCCCGCCCCGGAGAACTACACGATATGCAGCCCCCAGCTCCTGCATCTCGACCTAGACGGCTCGCCGCTCTGGTTCAACGGCTGGCTTCTCGTGAGCAAGTACGCCGAGCCCGGTAACCGCCGCTTCACGCCCATGGCGACGTACCTGACCGAGCCGCGGCCCGCGCGGGCGTCCGCCGCCGCCGACGACGCCGTCTGGACGCCTGCCCGCCGGGAGTTCTGGGAGCTCGCGGAGGACAACATGTGCTGTCTGACGGCGGGCGCGGAGTCGAAGTTCGACATCGGGGCGGGGGATCTGGAGCTCCTGGCGATGATGAGGGCGCGGGCGGTGGAGGTTGGGGAGATGATGGTTTAGGGTTTTTTCCCTTTTATTCCCTTTTATCCTTTTATTTTTCCCTTTTTTCCCCTTTTTGTTCTTGTTTCCCCTTTTGATTTTTTGGGGTTCAAAAATATACACCGTATATCCAAGGGAACGGGTTTGGATACCCAGGCGCTCCGGCGTCATTTGTATTTACAAGCGAGTTTTGGGGAGTTTAGTCTTTTCCGGTTCTTTGCTCGCTTCCCTGAATTTAGCCACGCGACGTTATGTCTACCTACCTACCCTATTGACTCCAGCATCAACCTAGCAAGAATAGTCCGATGTGAATAAAAAGTAGTCTTCCAATCTATTCCCCGGCGATGGACTTGATGTCCGTCTCCTTCGGGGTCTATTGGAACCAGACCGGTGGAAATCTATCGGAAGTAGACTGGAAGCTTCGGAATCCGCGGACTTTTTCTTTTTCTTGGCTTTTATTCCCCTCCCTTTCGGTTCCTTAGTAACACTGCATTGTATCTACGTCCTGCAACAACAGCCAGGTGGCATAGTGGTCCAACGTGATAGATTGGAAATCTATCTCCTTCAGAGGCGTCTGTTCGAATCAGACTGTAGACTTGAAATCTCCCTCCCGAAGAGAAAGACTTAAAGTCTATCTTCACGGGCGCCTATTCAAATCAGGTGTTAGACGGAAAATCTACTACCCCAGATGGACTAGAAATCTATCTCCCTCGCAAGTATCTGTTCAAACCAGGCCGATAGAGTAAAACCCTATCAAGAAAATAGACCAGAAGCCTATTCCCTCGTGAGCGTCTGTTCAAACCACGCTCCTCGCAGAGACTAGAAATCTTCAGAGACCAGAAGTCCCGAGAGACAAGAAATCTTAGTCGGAAGCGTCTGCTCGAATCAGACGCTTCTATTCCCCCCGCGAACTTTTCTTTTTTGTCTTGGCTTTTCTTTTCCCGCATCCCTTGCCCCGACCCCTAATAACACAGTATTATATCCCCGTTCTGCAACAACAGCCAGGTGGCATAGTGGTCCGAGGCGATAGATTTGAAATCTATCTCCTTTGGAGGTGTCTGTTCGAATCAGACCTGGATTTGAAATCCTTCTCCCGAAGAGACAGACTTGAAGTTTATCTTCACGAGCGCCTGTACGAACCAGGTTCTAGACTAGAAATCTATCCTTCAGCGGCGTCTGCTCGAATCAGATGTAGACTTGAAGTCTGCCTTGCTCGGAAGTGCCTGTTCGAACCAGGTGCCATAGACTCGAAATCTAAGCCCCTCGGATAGACTAGAAATCTATCGCCGGATCGTCCATTCGAATCGGACCATGTAGACTTGAAGTCTGTCTCGAAGATAGTCTAGAAAGCTATGTCTGTTAGAATCGGACTCTACAGACTTGAAATCCATCGCCCTTGGATAGGCTAGAAACCTATCACCCGGAACGTCTATTCGAATTAGACCATGTAGACTTGAAGTCCTCCCCCCTCGGACGCGCCCGTTCGAACTAGGCGCTATTTAGATTTGAAGTCCATCTCGAAGATAGTCTAGAAAGCTATGTCCGTTTGAAACGGACCCTACAGACTTGAAATCCATCACCCGCGACGTCTATTCGAATCAGACCATGTAGACCTGAAGTCTTCCGACGCGCCCGTTCGAAACAGGCGCTATCTAGACTTGAAATCTATCTCCAAGATAAATTGAAAATCTATCCTGGCAGCGTCTGATCGAATCGGACCCTATAGACGTGAAGTCTGGCTTCCTCGGATAGACTAGAAATCCATCGCCGGATCGTTCATTCGACTCAGACCATATGGACTTGAAGTCTATCTCGAAGATAGTCTAGAAAGCTATGTCCGTTTGAAACGGACCCTACAGACTGGAAATCTATCACCCGGAACGTCTATTCGAATCAGACCATGTATCTAGACCTGAAGTCTTCCTCCGACGCGCCCGTTCGAACTAGGCGCTATATAGACTTGAAGTCTGTCTCGAAGATAGATCGGAAATCTACGCGGCAGCGTCTGTTTGAATCAGACCCCATAGATGTGAAATCTGACTCCCTCGGATAGACTTGAAATCTATCACCGTATCGCCCATTCGAATCGGACCACGTAGACTTGAAGTCTATCGTGAAGATAGTCCAGAAAGCTATCCAAGCAGCGTCTGTTTGAATCGAACCCCATAGACTTGGAGTCTGGCTCCCTCAAACGCGCCCGTTCGAACCAGGCGCTATAGACTTGAAGTCTATCTCGAAGATGGATCAGAAATCCATCCCGCAGCGTCTGGTTGAATCGGATCCTATAGACTTGAAGTCTATCTCCCTCGGAAGTGCCGGTTCGAACCAGGTGCCATAGACCCGAAATCTGACTCCCTGGGATATATTAGAAATCTATCGCCGGATCGCCCATTCGGATCGCCCATTCGGATCGGACCATGTAGACTTGAAGTCTATCTCGAAGATAGCCCAGAAAGCTATGCCTATTCGTATCAGACCGTGTAGACCTGAAGTCTGACTCCCTCAAACACGCCCGTTCAACCAGACGCCATAGACTTGAAGTCTATCTCGAATATAGATCAGAAATCTATCCAGGCAGCGTGTAGACCCGAATTCTAACTCATTCAAACGCGCCCGTTCGAACCAGGCGCTATGGACTTGAAGTCTTGAAGTCTATCTCGAATATAGATTAGAAATCTATCTCGCAGCGTCTGTTTGAATCGGACCCTATAGACGTGAAGTCTGTCTCCCTCGAAAGTGCATGTTCGAATCAGACCCTACTTTAGACTTGAAATCTATGGCGTTCAGAAGCCTTTGTTACAATCAAGCGCTTTACTGAGATATTACTATTTTTTTGGGAATTCGAATTGCGCTCGGAAGTCCCATACACTACGTGTTATACCATACTTACAACGGACGGCGGGCGGTTTGGCGATGGATTAATTTTCCTCACACTATTCCGTATTATGATCTTGGCTTACAACAGGTCGGAGGGGAGTATCTAGGAAGGAAGTTCCCGTATGGTACGGATGTATACCGCGCAGGACCAGAGAGAGGAAAGGAAAAGATAGGTAGACATCATCGGTATCCAATCAAGGAATAAAAACGGTAACTGGATTGATTCGCGATGCGTCGCATACGGTACATTATACGGAATACGACCCGACCTACCGACCGTATTACGCGTGTAAAACAGCAGTTAATGACGAAGATGGCGCTGGTCCCTTGCTTCGCCCATCCGTCCACCGGCTGTTGCGGTCACCGAGGGAATCCCTACAGACTTAGCAGCCCGTCATCCGGGCGCATGTGCTTTGAAGGCAAGTCAGTGGCCCCGTCTTGTGACGAGTTACATTCTTCAGGAACTATTCAGCATGCATGGGACTTTTCCCCTGCCCTATTTCTGGTAACGGGGATGTACTTCGTCAGGGCACGTCCCACGTACATTCAACTACCTCTCTCTTCCTGGGTAGGGAGGTCTTCCGTAGCATACGAAAGTAAAAAACCGAAAAGAAAAGAACGGAAGGGGAATTCACCATTAAACGCCACGGTTTGGACGTCCGGTGCATTCACGACCTGCATGTGCTCGCTCACACCATCGCCTGACTCCTCGGCCCGGGGGCTGGGTTCCTTTGTTCGTCGTCGGCGATGGGCGGCATCCCTCCCTACCTATAACACCTATATCACGAAATACTTACAAACACAGCCGTATGAAATGACCAACAACCAGTCTCAGCTAGAATAATAACGAATACGTAAAAGTCCAACCGCCAAGCAGGATACCGTAAGTACTCCCCATGAAAGAAAAAACAAAACGTAAGACGTAATACATCACAAGAACGAACACCAACCCTGTCGACGAGCTGATTACCCCGGCGAGCCACATGGCACACCACGGCAAGACGCGACAACCTTGCCTCTCACAGCCACCCCCGCCAGCACCGATCCAATCCAATCCGATCCCGCACAGCCCAAGCCCAACCCAGCCTGACAGCCCGTGATCCCCCGGCACGCTACATCTATCTAGTTCAACCCATGCCGCAAAGCACTCATCGCAAAGCCAACCCAAGCCGCAGAGGACAAAGGACAGAAGAGTACTTCGTACCTGGAATAGAAACCCAGTACCACCACAGCAATACCCAATAAACCAACAAGCCTACCTACCTTCGTAGAACACCGCAGGCAAGCCCTGAATAAACAAATCCCACAGCGCCCCAATCAACAGCAAACCCGACGATAACGTCAGCCAAGTACCCCCGCGCACCAACAGCAACGCACAAGGGGGACACGGCAACCCGACATGCTTTCGTAGACTATCTAGAAAGTACCTACATCGCCATCCCGTCACCGCGCTACTGCAACCGTCGAACACGCCCTGCTTATGCCACGTCCGCACCGCATGCCCACGGAATACCCACATACGCTCTCTCTGTCTGTCTGTCTGTCTGTTTCTCCCTGTTGGCTTTCCTTCGCGGTGCGCTATCCGCATTTAACCTGAGCCGATCCGGAGGTGGGATGTAATACCTGTACCTAACGCAAAGCACCAGCAAGGCGCCACGAAAACGAGATTAAGACACATCAAACCAAGTCTTCAAAACCCGTCTGTAGAATTCGTCAACCAACATGTCTACCTACCTATCTATAGAGTTAAACCCTCATCCAAAAGACCGTGAGAAAAAGTGTCCAGTAAATAGGTAAAACCTCATAGTCGCAACCTCGTGAAAAACCAAAAAAAAAGCAGGGGGTTGTCGCGGAGGGGACATTACATGGTATGGTTCTATGTACATGGGAATCATGCTTTATCGTGTTTATCCAGTTAGTCTGTATCTGTCTCCCCTTCCCTTCCCTTTCCCTTTCCCTTTCCTCAAGCCGCGCGGCGGTTCGTGAGTTTGTGTTGCTTGCTTGCTTCGCCCGGCCCAGCATTATAATACAGTAAAAAACAATCAGAGGGGAAGCCGGGGAAACAGAAGACCTTGATCTTGATCTTGATCTTGGGGGTATCAAACACCGGGGGGTATGCTGGATCCGAATCGCGCTGCGCGAAAAAAAAAAAAGCGAATAAAACCAAATTTATAATAAAACAATAGTTGATGTAAAATGGACGTCGACGTCGTCGCTGTTTGAAAAGCTCCCGGTCCCCGTGTCGTGTCGTTCGCGTCTTTCCTCGTCGACCCTTTCATCGCTTATTGAATGGCCATTTTATCTTCTTATCCTTCTTATCCTTGTCCTTCTTGTCTTTCTTGTCCGATTTGTCCTTCTTGCCCGACCTGTCTTTTTTGTCCGACTTGTCCTTCTTATCAGACTTGCACTTAACCTCGCTGACGTCGTCTTCATCTTCTTCTTCGTCGAGGTCTAGCCGGTACCGTCTCACGCTCCCCTTGTCGTCGTCAAAGGTCAGCCACCTGCTGTCCCTGGGCACCAGGCGGTTCGGAACCACGTATCTCATCATCCACCCCCTCAGTCCTCGACTAGCGGCATCGATAGCGGCGTACTCCAGCCTGCGAGTCTTGTCGCTCATCCAGTACCGAATTGTTTGCGGCGGAGGGCGGTATGTTTGATCCTCCGTCGGCTCGTTATAACCCCTTAGCATTTCTTCCGGTGTGGGGAAGTAAAAGTAGGAGTGCGGGTGCTGGCGCTCTTGCGGCGTTGGCGTATGTATAGGCGGTGCGCCATGCCGTACCGGGGGAGAGCGGGATCTAGGCCTGGCCGTGTGTTGGTGAGCGCCGGACCGCTTCTGATGCCGGGCCTCTGGCGTGTTGCAATTTGACTTGGAAGAGTTGTGGTCATAGGAAGAGGGCGAGAACGACGACTCGTAGCCCGAGTCGTGACGAGTGATTGACTTGGGAGGGCCGAAGTAATCCTCTTCAGGGGGTGAGGTTCGCGGTGAAGTTCGCGAAGCTCGTGAAGCCCGTGGCGGAGTTTTTGGCGTAGTGAGCGTAGTTGCGAGACATGCAGTGGGTTCGAACAGCTCAATGTCGTGAAAGCTGTGGTACATTGTATCAGATGCGGCGGCACCCAGTGAAGACCGGGACTGATGAGTGTATGTAGACGGAGACATGCTGGGCAGTTTGTATCTTTTTGCTCAATTCATACACTATAGACGCG